GTATGTCTCCCATATCACGTGTGACATGTGTGTTCATCGACTGTTTGATCGGTAAGGCTTTTTCGGTCAGCAGGCGCCTGTCGGTAGATAAGGTTTGGGGGAGTCAGCAATGATACGTGGACTGTGTGGGGGTCGGTCCCCACAGGGTCAGCTGTATTTTCTGTTGAAAGTGCGCCAGGTGCTCGGCAGGTATCGTACGGTGCTTGCTGCGTTCATCTGCGGTCGGTTTGGGTTCTAAACATGGTGAAAAGGAGCCGTTTCCCTAGTTGCCCGAGCCAACGGGCTGGACCACACTGGCCTCACCCCACATCCCTCCGTGTAGCTTTCCCTCGACCCCCCTTTGATCTAACCAGTCAGTGGGTGTGGAAGTCGCACCACAGGCGGGTCGTGGCCCCTGCCTGTTGTCACCTTGCCCGTGGTGGGGCTGAGCTTGCTTAGCTATTTAGGGCAGGGATTCTCAACGGCCAACGCACAGAGGACTCACCGGGGAGGCAGCTGGCTGAAAGGCGCCACCGGAGTCCCCACCCCTGGAGATCTTCACTCGGGAGGCGGGTGGGGCCCTGGCAAACCTGCATTTTACGATGCAGCCTGGGCGACGCCCATGCTGCAGTCAGGGTTCGCGGTGGGTGAGAGAGACTGAGTGTGCACCGGCTGTCTGGTCTACCCGTGGCTGTGCCTCGGGGACCCCAGCCACAGGGGGGTGGCCGCTCTGTGGCTCCAGGTTTACTGAAGCATCGCCCAGCGTGGGCAGGCCAGAAGTGACAGCCCGAGGCAGAGGAGCTGCAGCCAGCTGGTCTCAGTTGGGGGTGACTTTGCGCCCAGGGGACACTTGGCAATATGTGGTGTCCGTTTTGGCTGTCACAGCTGGGAGTGAGGAGCTGTGTCATCGAATGAGCACATACCGGGGATACCGTTCAATGTCTCGCAGTGCACAGGACGGGCCCCACCAAGGCAGCAATCCAGCCTTGGGCGTCACTACTGCTGAGTTTGAGAGAGTGTGTCTTAGCCTGAGAGACTCTACCTGTCATCTCTTTCATCTACCATCTGTATCTATCTTCTATCTATATCTATCTATCTATCATTTATCTATCATCTATTGTCTATAATACATATATATTTTCTATCATCTATCTATCTATCTATCTATCTATTTATCTATTTTCTATCACTATCTATCTATCTATGTTTCTATCTATCATCTATCATCTATCTTTCTATCTATCCATCCATCTATCATCTATCTATTATCTATCTATCTATGTTTCTATCATCGATCTATCTATCTGTTATCTACCTATCATCTATCTATCTGTGTTTCTATCTGTCATCTATTTATCTACCTACCTGCCTATCTATTATCTATCTATCTATCTATCTATCTATCTATCTATCTATCTATCTAGGTTTTTGTCTATCTATCTATCTATCTATCTATCATCTATCGTCTATCATATATATCTATCATCTATTATCTATCTATCATCTATCCATATCTATCTATCAATCATCTATCTATCATCTATCATCTATCTTCTATCTACCTATCATCTATTTTCTATCATATATATCTATCATCTATCTATCTATCTATCTACCTATCTATCTACCAGCTACCTATCTACCTAGAGAGTTAAATTTATTTTAAGAAATTGGCTCCCAAGACTACGGGACTGGCAGGTCTGAGATCTGCAGGGCAGGCTAGAAACGCAGGAAGGACTTGACGCTGCCACTTTGAGTCACAACCCCTTCTTTCCCTGGAAACCTGCCTTTGCTTTTAAGGCCTCCAACGAATGGGATGAGGCCCACCCACTCACCCACCCACTCACCCACTGCTTTATTTACGTTGATGCTAGACGTGAATCCCATTCACAAAATGTCTTCACAGTGACACCTAGACTGGTGTTTGACCCGACAGCTGGACATTCAGGTCTAACCAAGCTGACACATAGAACTCACCAGCCAGCATGTTTTCATCTTTCTACGTCAACAGCTCCTAGGACCTGCTCCCTCTTAGTGTCTCTCAGGCCATGCATCTATGTCTTCAGACGTATTTCCATGTTTGCTTCTGTTGGCAGACATGGGGCCTGCTCAGCGCTATTAGATCCTTTCGCTGCTCCAATTTCCCTGTTACCATGAGCTGAGCTTATGAAGGGATTGCCTGTGCACGGAAGTGAGCTGCTGCAGAAATTGCAAAACGCTTGAGAACCAAGGAAGAGTGCTTTGCTCTTCCTGCTAAGCGAATTCTGCAATGAGAACGCAGGTGCCTTTCCCAGGGGACCCCGAGCAAATTAAAAAGATTTTTTTAAAAAAATGCAAAAGAGTGCGTTTCACTTGAAAAACAGTCCCTTAAAATTAGATGAAGGCCTCCTGAATTTTCTTTAAATGATTCCTTCCGATTATTGCTTGTTTGTGATATATCCTTCTGATATATTTGTGGGCTCCATCTATGGAGGTCCCCAAGGTGGGTTCAAGGCCACCTTCGCTCCTGCCTGTAGTGAGAAGCAGCCTGCGGAGGGGGGGTCTTCCTTGGACACCCCTGCAACCAAGGCTCTGAATCTTTGGGGGCTGATGACCTCCTGGACCCTGGGGAAGGGGGTTCGGTCAATTGGACGGTTCCTGCTCAGAATATAAACTCCCAAAGTGGGGTCCCAGACCCGCGGCACCAACATGCCCTGGGAGCTGAGGAGAAAGGCTGCCTCAGCCTCCCCAGACCTGCTGAGCCAGGCTCGGCGCGTATCCAGGCTCCGGGCTGATGTGCACGCCCTGGACGGCCTGAGAGGCTCTGAGGCAGAAGCTGGGGCTGATGGAACCGCGTGGGTGTGGACGCAGCCCACAGGGAGTGACCTGTGTCCTCACAGCTCTGCCAAAGAGCCCCTTCCTTTGCATCCTAGCCCCAGGGGCCGGTGGCCACCTGCCCTCCCCTCCACCCCTCCCCGCCAGGCTCTCTGAAGGTGCCTTAGTGCGGGCTGGGCGATGGCCTTGGGTTTAAGTCTCTTAACGGGTTGAGCTGTGTCCCCCCAAATTCATATGTTGAAGTCCTAGCCCCAGGACCTCAGAATGGGGCTGTGTTTGCAGATGGGGCTTTAAAGAGGGGATTAAGGTGACATGAGGTCACTAGGTGGGCCGTGATCCAACAGGACCATGTCCTTATAAGAAGAGGAGGTGAGGGCACAGACACACACAGAGGGATGGCCATGTGAGGACACGGGGAGCAGACGGCTGTCTGCATGCCCAGGAGAGAGGCCTCAGGGGGGACCAGCCCTGGGACACTGGATCTCGGACTCCAGCCTCCAGGACTGGAAAATGTATCTCTGTTGTTTAACCGGCCCCGTCAGGGGTCTTTTGTTGTGGTTCTCACACGGCAAAGTGAGGGCCACGGGCCTAGAGGCTCTGTATCCCATCAGGAGCTGTACGAAAAAACACCTCTCAGGCCCAACCAGACCCTGCGTGGCAGAGTCTGTGTGTCCCCCGTGTCCTCAGGGATCCAGGCGCACGTGTCACTTTGGGGAGTCCGGCGTAGGACACGCCATGCAACAATGCCTCATTGGGCAGGCTGCAGCGTCCTTCTCAAGTTTGCTTTTCATGACAGATGTCTTGTCTTTTACGGGACCTCTGCTGGTGCCGAGAGAGGGCTTTGATCTGCAATGCACTGACAGGGCCCCTGGGACACCAGGAAGCCAGACAACTGGTTGACCTTGTGGGAGACGCTCAGTGGCTCTCAGCGTCTCAAGCACTGGCGGGGACCTGCTCAGCCCCAGGGAGGGCCCCCAGCCTCTGCGGAGAACGTCAGCCGTTACGTCTGTGGATATTCGCGTTGAGGGGTGGACCATGGGAACCCACGTCTTCTGAAGGACACGTGCTGTCCTGCTGGAAGCGAGAACCTCGTGAGAAACTAGAGAGCCAAGTGGATGTGGCCACACAGCTCTTCCAGAGGGAGAAACCAGAGCCCCACCGGCGACCTGCAGGCCCCACCGGGAACGACGCCCTCCCCCACTTTCCTTGTGTTCACCTGCTTTTTAAGCCTAAACTGCCCACCTCGGCAGGTGACTTATTGTCTCTACTCTGGGAAACACACCGTCCTGGGAAACGGTCCCTCTAATAGGCTTTCTGAACGTTCATTTTCCCAAAAAGAACGTTCGTTTCCCAAAAAGAAGAGGTTTGTTCCCAGAAAGTCCCTGCTCCAGGGGCCATGCCCCTTGGGGGGAAGTCTTCAAGGATGAGAGAGGGTCGTGTAGATTGAAGGCTGGCAGAGCCGCTTCATTGGCGGCAGCTGACCTCGGAAGGTTTGGGCTCCACCAGCCAACGCTTCAGGGGAAACCAATAAAACGCTAGGGAAGGAAACGCAAAGCAACCGCCGTCAAGGGCAGCCGATGCGTGCACTGCTGGGATAATGCCACCTACGTGCACGCGTGGGCTGCGTGCCCGGGACAGATGTGGCCCACTGGGATTCAGTCCCTGCTGTGTACGCTCTGCTGGTAAGAGCGGGAGTGGGTGCCAGCGCTGCAGCTATTAATGGTGTTTTCCTTCTTCTGTTCTCTTTCTCCGAGCTCCCTCTTATAGAGTAAATAATTCAGTGAGCGGTTCCTGAAAGCTGGGAGGGACGCTCTCCGGGGTGGCCTGTATCCTGCTTGCAAAGCATCCGTCTTGGGCTGTGTTATTGTTACTCCAACAACAGCCCTGCCCTTTGCTTTGCAATATTGGCGTGGGTCATGTGGACGTGGGGGGGTCTGAAGAGACGTAGAGAAACCGAGGGATTAAAACGTCCGCTGTGAAGGAGCTTAGAGGTGCGCAGGGGTTGGCTGTGAACTGGGGAGGGGGCTGTCGTGAGTGTGGTTCCTGGAGACACCGGAGGTCATGTCAGTGCCACAGAGGCCGGTTTTCTCTGGGGGAGGGGGCGTGGGTAAGGCTGACCCCCGGCCCAGCAGCTGAGCCCCTTTTACACCCACATCTGCAGGATGTCGGTGGCAGAAAAGCAGCACTGAGAACGCAGAACATACAAGGCTGCTGCCTGCTGGGGCATTCCCAGACCCGGGGACATGTGGGTCTGACTAAGCGCTGAGTAAAAGAAACGCAAATGAGAAACAGATTTTGTGTTTTAGGCTCTGAGTGGAAAGCCTGGCGAACGAAAGCAATTGCCTTGCCAGCAGCCCCTCCCCTGACAACTTCCCCAAAATTGAGCCCCCAGCATCAATATCGGCTGCCTGAGTGACCCCTCAGAGAGGCGACCCCTGCAATGGAGGTGGGGGTGGGGACGCTGCCATGGCTTGGGGAGAGCTTGGGGCGCGGCCGGGGAGCTGGGGGTTCCTGCGTTGCCTGAGGCCTGCAGGGCTGGCCTAGGTCCACGCCTGGCGCCGGCCGCCGGCCGGCCGGAGACTGCCTGCTTATGCAACGGGGCCCGGGGACCTGACACCGCCCCACACGTGGGAGTCACGCTCACACACAGGTCTCCCTGCAGAGCGACACCTGCACCCACCAGACGCGGCGTCCCCAAAGACCCTTCTCATTCCTACCGCCCCCAGGGGGCATCACAAGCACCTCCAAGCCAAAAGAGGGGGTACGGAGGGCTGTCTGCCAAGCTGCAGAGAGGGCACTGGGCTGCCGGGGACTCCACGTCCCCATCCATCCATCGACCTCCCTCTCCAGGTGGCCCCGTGCCCTTTGGGAGAACACACACAGGTGACGCCTCGTGTGTTATGCAAGGAGATTTCGGAGCGGCTGGTTCAGGGTAGATGACCACACAGAGGCCCCGGATTATCTGGGACCAGGGCTGTGGCTGCCACACGGGCTGGGGAAGGTGGTTAGGCGTTTGTTTATCAGATGCCTGGAGCTGTGGGGACCAGCCACGTTGGTGTCCCTGGGGAAAGTCGCTGGAATGCAACCAGCGTAGCTGGGGCAGCTCTGGGGGCCCCCCGCAGATGTGGGGGCTCCTTTGAACTGGACACAGGGTTGGCCACACCCAGCCGGCCACCCCCGAAGGGAGGTGTCCCAGGAATCCAGGACGCTGACGCTGTGTCCGGTCCCCCTGGAAAATGGTGGCTGAGGGTGCCGACAGGAGCACAGAGGGGCCAGACCCCAGCCATGGAGAAGGGCGTCTGGAGTGAACCCCCAGAGTTACAAACGGCTCTCTGGGGTTCCGCGTGTAATTGTACCGGCGGCTTTCAGCCTCCACTCGGGACCTGGGGCTGCAGATGGGCACACTGGCCTTTGTTCCCTCCGATGCTGTGGCGGTTCCTGGCTCAGGAGGTGCCTGCCTGGGGATGTGTCCGTGTGCCCTGGGACCCCAGGTCCCTCAGCAAGGAGCCCCAGAGCCTGGCCATGTGCCATCCCGGCTAGGGCTGCACCGGGGACTTCACAGGCCCCAGGCTGGACGGGTCAGAGCGTCCTGCAGGGCGGGCACGGGATGGGATGGGCTGGAACCAGTCAGAGGTGCTGCTTACACAACCTTGTGGGGGTCCTCAACGTGCACGTCGCATGGCTGAACTGCGTGACCTGTAACTCATAGCTCACCAGAACAGGCTGTCACCAAAATGGGAGATTCAAGCCACTCAGGGTCTCAAAGGTTTTCTAATGCATTTTTCTAACTTTAGAGGCCGTGAGGGGGTGGGGAAGGAAATGCAAAAAAGCATTTTCATGAACAGGAAAGGCACTCCATGTAGCCCTCTCTCTCACACTGGGTTCCTTAAATATATATATAGTAATTGAGATGAAATCCACATGCATAAAAGTCACCATGACAATCCCTTTAAAAGGAGCAGTTTGGTGAATTTTGGTAAATGTACAGTGCCGTGCACCCATCACCACTGCTATCTAATTCCACAACACTTCCCCCCAGATGCTCCCCCATCCCTCCTGGCAGTCTCTCCGCCGCCGCCCCCCCCCCATCCAACCTAGTGGGACTCGAGCCCCGTAAGAAAAGCAAACCAGGTCCCTGCGTCTCTCCAGATGGCAGGCTTCCTGTGTGTATTATTTTTAGCACATCTGAAACCCACACGTAAACAGAATTTCTGAGCCCTTGTGCGCTGGGAGGAGGGCCTGGCTGGGGAAGTGTCTGCAAGTCTTGCCCGAGGGGAGCCCCAGGCAGCCTCCATTCAACATCTACTCTCTCTGAGCCATAAACGAAGGTATCCACGCGTGTAGCCACATGGCCCTACTGTATCCCACTTCCCGCGAGCTAAACATGGGGGCCGGAGCCTCTCCCGGCGACTAAAACGAGCGCCCTGGAAACAACGCATGTGTCACCTCCTCCAGGCAGGCCTCCAGGACTGCCTCACCGCAAGGAGTAGAATTGCCGGCTGCCTTTTGGGTCCCCGCTGCTCCCAGTTTCTACCTTCCTATGTCCACGCGTCTCTTCCTGCTCAAGACCAGGAGGGAGCACGCGTGTGGCTCCTTGTCACACCCCTAACACCCAGCAGTGTCCCCGGCATGCAGCCGTGGTTCCTATAGGTTTGCGGACGCTCGGAGGTTTAAGTTTGCGGAAACATGTGTGGTCGGTTGGGGCAGCTGGGATCCTAGGAGCTTCCTAATCTTCCTTAATTAAGACAACTCTGCAGGAAGATAAGACAGGGGTTTGACAGACACATGGGAGGCCGGGGGAAGGGTCAGGGGGACTTGGAGCCTCAGTTTAGCTCAGGGTGGGGCTGAGTTTTGCACCAAAGAGCGAACGTGTCTGGCTTAGCTCGGGGAGCAGCCTGGAGAGGGGAGTGGGGCCCTGACCGTCTGTCCCATCCCCCTGTGATGTGTGCCTTGTGTGTTCCCAACAGGTCAAGACGACTTTAATTTGGCCGACGCCCTCGATGACCCTGGTGAGTGCTGATACGTCACGGGGAGCTCGGGTTTGTGCCACCAGTTTGGCGGTTGGTCGGTGGGGTCAGTCAGTGGGTTTGTGCGGGGCTGGGGTTGCGAATTCCCGGGCCCTCAGGTCTCTGTGTTTCCCACGGGATCGCAGGCTGCGGTGAAACCCCTTAGCCAAGGATCCTTTGTGTGGGGGGCTCAGTTGCAAATCTCAGGAGGTCCCTGCTGCCCGAGGCTGTGGTCTGGGCACACACTGGTGGCTTTTGCTTTTTTTTAACCGCGGGTTCTCACTTAGTCTGTGCTGTGTCACACACACCCTGACTGAGAAACTGAATGCAGCCAGCCTGCCTCCCAGGGCTGCCTGCCCAGTGGGTTCTCTTGGTCAGAACGCTAAATATAGGGGTGCTGGGCCCTGGAGAGACAGTCCAGCCGGGCGGCCCAGGTGTTCAAACCTGGCTGGGCGGCAGAGAGGAAAGCACTGGACACGTAGGCACAGGGGGCTGGGGTGTCTGTAGAAAGAAGTGTGCACACTTGTCACAGAAGGTCACCAGTTCCGGCAGCAGCACCAACCACGGGTCGCTCAGCACAGATAAATGATGGAGGGGGTTGGGGGTAGTGAAAAAGGGGTGTGACGACCGGGATGTAGACCCAGAAAGGACAGCAGAGGCACAACGATGGAAACCACCAATGCTGTCCAATGTTCCCCACGGACGGAGGCTTTTGCTGACAATAACCATGGACGCGGGGGGGGGGGGGGGATAGATGTGATATTACTGTCAGTGCAACAGGAAGACTGAAGGGTGCTTGCCAACACGGGGACACCACCTTCCCACCAGGCTGCAGCGGTGACAGGCTGAGTCCTACCCGGCCTGCACGGCTGCGGGGTGAGCGTGGCCGGAGGGCAAACATCGGAGCCTCACGGGAGGACATCCCGGCCATATCCTGCGAAATGCGGCCTCAGCGGTCAGCGCTAGGGGGCGGGGTGGATAAAGAAAAGTGTGTCCACGACACGGCACAGGTGTGTGACAGGGCAGGCCCAGGGGCTCCGGGGCAGAGCTACGCGTCTAACGTATTTTATGGATTGAAAAGCATCCCTGACGCGAAACAGTGATTCTAGTGCTAGGCAGACGCTCAAGAAAACAGAGAAGGGGCTTCAGCAAATGTGTGTGAGCGAATCTGGAGAGCAGCCCTGGTCACAAGAGCCGACAGGTGGGAACGGCCCAAGCGCCCCTGCTCAGAGGAACGGTGCTCTGTGAGAGGGAGTATTACGCAGCCGTGAAAAGGACCGAGGCCCTGGCACAGGTCCAGCACAGTGGATGGACCTTGGACACGCAGTACTCACTGCAGAGAGGGCTTCCAAACACATTTCCTCTGCCTGGAAGGACCCTGCCCTCGGTGTCCCCTTGTCAGCCTGCATTGTCCCTGTTCCTTCCTCCACATCCAGCCTCACAGAGCCGGTGGCCACGTTCTGCAGCCCAAGCTCTGTCCACGTGATGTCTGCATCCGCAGGGGCTGACCTCCAGGTACGGCCGTCACATGACAGGCTGTGGCGGACACACAACTCCACCGCCGTTTGTTGAGTGAATAACCACAATTGGGAAAGTGACAGCCGCATCGTTCTGGAAGCCGGAAGCCCCTCTCCATGTTTTGTTCTGCCTCTTGTACCTCTGCTCTGCAGACGCACGGCCGCCTGCCCTGGGTGGCCGTAGCTAAGCGGATGTCCCCGCAGGTGTCCGATATCTTGCTCCCTCGCCCTCTGAAAGTCTCTGCCCAAATGTACTTCCTAACCAGCCGCCTCATGAAAACGTGGCCCTCACCCTCCAGTCCCTCACGGCTCCGGGAAAGTCTGTTAGGCATGGGTTGGAAGGGTGACATCTCTGTTTGGATGTTCCCCCTGAATGCAAAATGGAACATGTGTTCGCATCGCTGAATTGTTAGTGCCTTGGCACCGTCCCTTTTTTTTAGGGTACTAAGGATTCTCTCCTCAATGCTTATCGAATGTATTTTTCTCTCTTTGCTTGCAGAACCCACCAAGAAGCCAAGCTCAGGTGAGTGGCATGTGACCGGGCAGAACTGGGGCTCTGCCTGGCATCCTGTGGCCCTGGAGGGTTATGGGAGGATGTTTACAGGGCCCTGAGGTGTGTGAAGGACAAGTGAGTGACCGCCACTCAGCAGGCGTTAAAAGCAAGCCCTAGTCATCAGGGACAGGCAAGTCGTCAAAATCACCGTGACATGTCACCCCATTCCCGCTGGGGGTGCAGGGGCAGGCATCCAAATGTGCAAATTGACAAGCGTTGGCGGGGATGTGGAGAAACTGGAACCCTCGTGGGTGTGGAAAATGGGGCAGCCGCCGTGCAAAGCAGTCTGACAGCTGCTCAGAAAGTGAAACACGTGTTCCTAGCAGCATCACTCGCCATCGCCAACCCGCGTGTCCACCGGTGGCCAAGCGGATACACAGAGCGGGGTCCGTCCATCCACAGAATAGAATATTATGCGGCCAGGAAAAGGACGGGGAGGTGCTGACACTCACCACAATGTGGAGGGACCTTGAGGACACGGTGCAAAGTGGGAGACGCCAGACACGAAAACCCACATATTATATGATTGCATGTAAATGAAAAAATCTCCTGCCCGGCATTATGAAAATACAAGCATGACCCTGGCCCCCTCGCTGACAGAAGCAGCGGCTGGCACTTCAGGCCCTGAACCCACAAGGGCGGGTGTATTGGGATGTAAAGAGCCATGGTGACTAAACACGTCAGTAAAAAGACATGACCATGGGCCGCTGAATAAAACCCCAGCCACCTGGCATTCACAGCAAGGCAATTAATTTTCTAAGTTAAATCCTGGGAAATAGTAACAGGGATGATAAGACGGGGAAGAACTCAAGTTATTTTAATATTGCTGGAGTTTGACACGTTTAAACTGAACTCGTTAAAAATAGAAATGGGGTGGGTAAGCCCTCCATGCGTCAAGGAGTCCCGAGAATGAAGAACAAAGTATCGTTGATGGATTAAATAGAGATCAGGAAAGAATAAAAAGATAAAAGAAGGAGGAAAAAAGAGTAGCAACAATGTACCACTAATCGTAGTAGATATAAGACGGTTTCATGAGGAGGCTGAGAAACACACAGGGTAGATAAAGTAATTTAAAATGAGTTACAGGCTCTCCAACAAGAGACGTTTGAAATATAATGCCACAGAGAAGGCGAGGACAGATGGGTGGGAAGAGACGCACGACACCAATAGCAAGTGGTGAAAGTGACGTTCAGTAGCCATGTCAGACGTTTAAAACGATGCTCTAGGGATAAAGCGCTCCTGTGGGCAAACAAAGTAACTACTTACGAACCACAGACAATCTCCACAGATGGAAAATCAACCTTGATCCACCACGCGCCTCAACAAAGTCAAAAGTGGAAATGAAAAAATCTGAGTGAGACCTTTTGCAGGCAAAAATAAAAGCACAGGGATTTTAAAATTGATAAACTGTGCACCATACTGGAATTAGAAATAATAATTATGATAACTTGGCCACATCCTCTCCAAAGTGGAAACTTGTAGGCTGCTGGGGGGGAGAGGCTCATCGCTGCTCATACAATCGTCTTAATGTATAAATTAGATACGAGGTCAGACAATGAAGTTTGTGACCTCACCGTAGAAAAAGTGCTCCATCCCTCACTGCTGAATATCACTGCGGTCACCTTCGAAGTCCTCCCCTTGGGAAGCTATGCACCGACGCCAGCGCCTAGTCCACCCTTCAAAGACATTCTGGAACTCTTTTTCTGGAGTGGCCATCAGAGCTGTCATCGTATTACCCTTGATGTCCTGAATGTCATCCAAATGTCTTCCTTTCAATATTTCCTTTATCTTCGGGTAAAGAAAGAAGTCACTGGGGGCCAGATCGGGTGAGTAGGGAGGGTGTTCCAATACAGTGATTTGTTTACTGGCTAAAAACTCCCTCACAGGCAGTGCCGTGTGAGCTGGTGCACTGTCGTGATGCGAGAGCCATGAATTGTGGGCGAACAGTTCAGGTCGTCTAACTTTTGTATGCAGTCTGTTCAGCACTTCCAAATGGTAAACTTCGTTAAATGTCCAGTTGGTACAAGTTCATAAGGAATCATCCCTCTGATATCAAAAAAGGTGAGCAACATCGTTGCAACAAGTTTGTGAACTTGATTGTCAGACCGCGAGTAGATGGCTTCTTCCAAAAAAGATACATCGCCAGAAGAGACTGCCGGGGGCGCAGCTGACAGTACAGGAAACCACGGAGCCGCCACGGGGAAGAAAAGTGAAGATGTTTCACATTCAGTGAAAGGCCAACAGTCACCCACACCCAACAGGTGACAGGCGTAGCAGCAACCATTTGCAAAGACCTAAGCTCGGCCACGTTGTTGCTGGGATGATCACCAGAAAAAGGACTTGAGCGTTTAAATCTGAGCACATCTCCCAACCGTCCCCCCCAAACCCCCACCCCCAGTTTTTTTCTCTGAGAAAGAGGTGGAGAGAAGAGGCTTAAAGGAAGCCAGATGTTACTACTACAAAAAGGAAAAAACAAAGTTACAAATGGAGAAAAAAATACAGTTTCTTCTCACCTGTTCTTATTTTTCCCTCAGCGTTTTTGTTGTTGCTGTTTTCTTTTTAATTTGGAAGATTAACCTTACTGATTTAAGCGGGCAGTGCTTGAAAGGGTAGGGAGTTACTGAGTGTAGGCGTGGGGGTTTTGGAGGTGACGGCACAGTGTTTGCTGTTATGACCGTGATGAGCAGGCATTAGGACTGCTGGAAAATCGATTCTAGAACTAAAGCGATTCTAGTTTGTCCTATGCGTCCCTTTGGGGTCCCCAGCCACCCTCTCTGCACGCAGCGCTACCATCTTCTTGTGAAAATGAGTTTCTAGGAACAAAAATGACAGCCGTGTGTGTGTGTGTGTGTGTGTGTATGTGNAAATGTTTCTGGTTAATTTGGAGGCTGTACCCACACTTTGGGAAATGGCTGGGGGTCACTGTGGCTTTCTGGTTCAATCTCAGTCTCCCTGGTTTGGCGACCCCCCCCCATTTCGCCCCCCGTTAGCCATGCTTGGAAGCAGAGAGGTCTTGGCAGCTGAACACTGAATGCCCTGATTCATCTCCAAAGGGAGGCACAGAGGGGGATCAGGGAAGTTTTCCTGCAGAAATAGCAGCTCAGATTTTAGCTTGGGGTCTGGCAAGGTTGGGTCCTGAGACCACCCATGTCTGAATCTGTCTGGGGTTTGGGGGGGCTTCCACCCCATACTTCCTTTGTGTCCGTGGAGAAAGCTATTAAACAGGAGCTTATTCCAGTGGTCTTTTTTTTTTTTTATTAAGAATTTCTGCCACTTCCAAACTCTAAATCCTGCCCGTGGCCTCCCTCTGCTGGTGGATGGGTGGAACTGACCACCCCCCGGATGGGACAAGCCTGGGTCCCCGTTACAGCCACCCCCCCGAAAGGATGAGGGAACAGAACTGATGAAAGGCATGGCATGCCAAAGACACTGCACGTGTATTTCGGTTGCATCTTTGTCAGGGATGTGTAAGCACTTGTAAACTTAGGAGCTCAGGCGTGACGCATTCACCTCAACCCCAAAATGTAAACATGGGCACCAGCGCCCACAAACTCAGTCAGCAACATAAACACTATTTCAGTGCAATGTTTCAAGAATGATAATAATAAATTGGCAAACTGCAGCTTTCGGGCTTGCCACGTGCTCATGCAAATAAAGTTTTATTGGAACTGGGGAGCGGGTATAGGGTGAGGTGAGTGAGGCATTGGGATTTACCCAAGGAGATTCATGTAAATATTCATTTTATCGAAAGCGATACAGAGAGTTACTCAGTTCATTGAAGGTGTCCAAACTCCTTAAAAAATAGCAAACAGTAAAAAAAAAATAGATAACAATGAGTTTGAGATCCATCCACAGCGTTTTTCTTTCCCGGCTGTGACGTGTTTCTCTCTATTTCCCTGACAGAGCCAGTGAATGTCTGAACACCTCAAGGTCACATTGAGAACAGGTCAATTTGGACAAGAACCCTGTTCGTCACTCCTGTAGACAGTTCCCTTCATTTTTGGCCTCATTCGCCTTCCTCCAGTGTTTCATCTGCCGTTTGAAAGACA